TACCTGGCTTTCCAGTAGGACACGCCCACTGTGCCTGGCCTTCCAGTAGGACACGCCCCACTGTGCCTGGCCTTCCAGTAGGACACGCCCTACTGTGCCTGGCATTCCAGCAGGACACTCCCCGCCGTACCTGACTTTACAATTACTCTTCCTTGCTGTCCAGCTCTGAAGGCCTCACCTTCCAAGAAACGGTGCAACTCCATTGCCGCATTGAAGGCAACCTCCCAGGAGATCGTGTCCTCTGTCAGCCAGGAATGGAAGGATGAGAAGCGAGATTTGTTAACGGAAGGGCAAAGTTTCAGCAGCCTGGATGAAGAAGGTAAATGCTCCCAACTTTCTAAAACAGAAAAACTCTAGTAAATTCTATGAATAATGTAAAGTCACAGCAGAAAAATTAGAGAATGCATGCTCCAAGAGATAGCCTACTAGTAAAATTTTATAGGCTGTATAGAATACAACAAATTTATATAAATATAAAATGCCATATAAACAATGCATGATATATGATTTATCATAAGAAAATTAGTAAATATTAAGATATTTAAAGAAAACACCTATAATCTAACTACTTCATGATAACAAATGCTAACATATTGATATTTGTTTTACTAAATTCTGGGTGTGCAGTATAGACATGTACATGCATATACACCTATGTGCACACATATGTAAGTGATATAATAAACTTTTCAGTTTATTTAGAGCTGTTTCCATGAATTTCAATAAGTGTAAGAGTTTCCTTATTTAGAACGAATGTAGATGTATTCCTTGCATAAACAGAGAGAGATTGGTGTGGGCTTTTTGTACCTTTTTTAAGAACTGTGAGTTCTGGCTGTTAGATGCTCCTCTGTATACCCCCTGTCTCTTTCTTCCTCTATTGCTCACTGCCTAGGACTGCTGATACAGTGATGAACAGAAATGGGGACTCTAGGTAGCCTTGCCTTGTCCTGATTTTAAAGACAATGTTCTAATGGTTCTCTGTTTAAAATGAAACTTGTCCTATTTCACACCAATTGCCACACCAAGGAACTTCTTTTTCTTGCTTTTCATTTACCAAAAAGTTTTTAACCAAACAAGAGTACCGAATTTTATTAAATAATTTTTCTCTATCTACTGAGTTGATATTTTGAATTTTCTATTTTGATCCGATAAGAGGAAGTGGTGTCTTATATATTTCTGTCGATTATTTCTTGGTCTTTTGGTTAACAACAAATATAGGCTTTTTTTTTTTTTTTAATCATTAGGTTCTTTGGAGAATCTCCCAAGTGTCTTCTACTTCCTGTAGAAGATTCAAAACTTCTTGTAGATACGTGCCTTCCCACAGTGTCTTCAGACAGATTGCTGTTTCTGCCCCTTCTAACTCAGCATTTGTCTCCAATACTAAATTGAATTTCTTTATCATATTCTCATGTCTAGAGTTACTTCAAGGAGAGTTAACTGATGATGGTTAATATTGTCAACCTGGCGGGATCTAGAGTGACCTGGAAGACAAACATTCAGGCATACCTGTAAAGAATTGTCTAGATTAGTTTAACTTCTGGGCCTGCCTGTGGGAAAGTGTCTTGATTAGGTCAACTGAGCTGGAAAAGACCCACCCTAAAATTGGGTGGCACCATTGCTTGGACTTTCATCCTGGACTCCCCAACAGGGAGAGAGCCATCTGAGCATAAACACGTGTCCCTGCCTGTTTCCTGACCATGGATGGCAAGGACCAGCCGCCTCACACTTCCACTACCATGACTTGTCCACTGTGGTGGACCGTACCCTGGAACTGTGAACGGAAATATAAACCTTCCTTTCTTGGGTTGCCTTTGTTAGGTTATTTTGTTATTATAGTAGGACAAGTAACCAGGACACTGCCTTTGGTCCTCTCTGTACTGATGACAGTAGATAGCCACCCCCTTCCTTGAAGCTACCTTCCACTGGCCTCTCCCCCAGAACTTTTTGTTCTCTTTTATGTTTTAAACTGAAATCTTCTTAAGTTTCTAGGCTGGCCTAGAACTCCCCATCATCCTGTCTTGGGCTCCCCAGCAGCTGTAGTAAAATTAAATATACTCAGCTGTACCCAGAATCCCTGGAAACAGGAAGTAGTACACCTGTGTGTGATGTACACCTGTGATGGGTTTGGGGATGGGTTTTTTTTTTTTTTTTTTCACATGAATTGGACCATTGCTTACAGATTTGGGCACATTTTTATTTATTGTCTAAACTTCAGAACTCAAGTTTAGCATTTCCTGTCCCTGCTCCACTGTCCTTCCATGCCTGTCCCTCTACCTCATCAAATAGACTCCTTCAAATCCAAAATCAGGGGTAGAGTTACATTGGTGGTGGAGTACTTGACTAGCATGTCTGGGGCTCTAGATTCAGCCAAAAACAAAAAACAAAAACCTTCAATCTCATCTGACAATGCCTTATGTGGCCATGTTCCCATTTTCCATTTACACAGTGAAAATACATCATCTGAAACTTTTTGTGTGTATCAAGCAATGTCAGGAACACCCCCAGGCTGTACTGTATTCATTGACATGTTTCCAGCTCAGTTTGAGAAAAGATACAGAACTCATATAAGCCATGTATGGTGGCACATGCCTTTAATCCCAATACTCAGGAGGCAGGAGCAGGTAGATCTCTGTGAGTTCGAGACTAGCCTGGTCTATATAGCAAGTTCCAGTAAACCCAGGACTGTATAATAAGATCCTGTCCCAAAAAAAGAGGGAAAAAATCCGTAAGGACCTTGGATGGAGCGCCTGTGCGCGCTCCAGGTCACTGCTGAGCCTGAAGAGTTCCTACTTCCTAACTGTGGAGGACCCTGATGTAAATACTTTCTTGAAAAAAATTTCTCTAAAATTTTAAAAAGAAATAAGCGCTTTCTCACTTTTATAAAGGCAATTTTACTATTGAAATAGGATGTTAAGAAGAGTCCTGATTCATGTCCACAAGTCCACGTAGGCTCGAACAGGATTGAGATGTGCCAGGCTGCTGTTCTGTTAGAGGGTTTGTGTCCCTTGAAGTCTGCTCTCCTGTGGAGAGAAAGCTCGTCCTCTCTGTTCATGCATCTGCCAGTCACCCTTTTAATCTCTGCCACATTATCTCCTTAAAGTCCTCGGAATTTTTATGCCATTTTGAAAGAGTAAATCACTTTATTAGGTTTTTAAAAGAGCATCCCTAATGTCATTTCCATAAGCCATTTTGTAAATTAATGTCATTTCCTTTCTGTCTAACCTGTTTGCAAGCAGATATTTTACATTTCTGTTGTAGTTCCAAAGAGCACAGTTAATTCATAATTTCATTTGCAGCCTGATACATAAAATGAATGCTTTTGACTCATTTAAGTTGTTGCAGATCTAAAGTGGCCTGTGTTACTGAGATTCATGAGTGCATACATTTGCTTTCGCTCCCCCAGCCCTGGGATCCCGACACAGGCCCGACCTGGTGCCCAGTACTCCATCATTATTAGAAGCTGCTTCCTTAGCGACCACAATCTCATCATCTTCCTTATATGTCGGTGAACACTGTCCACATGACAGGACTACGCTTTATTCAAACAGGTAACATTCAGTTCCATCCGCTTGCCAATCAATCAGGCTGCCCCTCTGTCAACCTCGGGCCAAAAGCAGTACCTCTGAGATTGTGTTTCTAGCAACCAGATGTGCCGGTCCCTGCCTCATGCGTAGGAGAAAGGGCATGCTTTATTTTTTACTGTTGCAAAAATACATTTAAAGGAAAACCCTTCTGTTTCCCTCTGCGATTAATTATTATGTTTTGTACAAATAAGTTATAAACAGTTATACTCTTGGCTGCTTGCAAAAAGACAAAGCTTTCATCATTGTTATTTTAGTGAGTGTGCATGTATGCGTGGCCATTTACACGTGTGAACGTGGGTAGCCTGTGCCAGTGTACATGTGGAGATCAAAGGACAACCCCATGCGGTGGTCGTCACCTTCCACCGTTTTTTTGTGGCAGAGTCTCTGCTTTCCTGCTGCATAAGCAAGGCTGTCTAGCTGGCCCCTGAGCTGCCAGGAGACTCCTGTCTGCCTCCAGGATTGTGGGAGTGGAGATGCTCATGATGCCTGTCAGCTTTTACGCGGGTCTAGGGGTTCAAACTCATCTGTCAGCCCTGAGTTCAGCGTGGTCTTTGGCAAGCTCAAGTTTGGTGGTTATATCCGCTTATCAGTAGTATTTTCTCGCTCTGACTTTTCTCTCTTGGCTACATAGAAAAGTAGACACAAGGGTAGCAAGCGAGGCAAACACTAGCTCTGGAGAAGGAGGTCAAGTGCGAGCCAGCAGGGCACGGTTTGGACCCTTTACCAGCAGAACCACCAGAAAGGCTCCTCTGTAAATGATTTAAGTGGCTTGAACTACAGAAAGGGCGTTTGACTTGGCCAGCGTTCTTGGCTTGAAGAAATTTAAAAGAACATACACTAGCCTAATGTGAATATGGAGCGTGCATGTTCAGATTTGGTTTCTCAATTAGTCCGTCCTCTCTGTGTGGGGGGCAGCAGAATGCAGGGGTTGTAACCCATGAGAGTAAGAGGCAGCTCAGAGGGAAGAGGGACGGTCTGAGGGACATCCCAGCAAAGCTAAGAACACCTCTCACAGGACGTGATGGTGCTTTTTATGGTTTGCTCTCGTGGTCATTACCATGAGCATATGATTCAGTGAGCTCTTGAATCGCTTACTGGAATTCCCGGCACTAAGGGAACAGGATTGGGGCTTGGGGTTTTGTTGTTTGTTTGTTGCTGTTGTTGGGTGTCAGAAGGGTTCTTAGGGGCCCTGTCTCTTGGTGAGAGGGGTTCAACTCCTGGGTATTCTGAGTGCTGTCTTCAGGCTCTGGCCTCCTCCTCAAGCCAGTCTTTGTGGCCAGTAGGAAGCCAGCTACCTCTCCAAGGTCTCTTTGAAATTGGATTGCTTTAAGCCATTTTCTCGGCACTCTGCCGCCATGTTGCAGTTTGATATCTTATACTTAGCTGTCAGTCAGGGTTCAGCTGCAAGAACCGAAAAGTATTCCATCCACAGCAGAAGGGTGTGGGAAGGCTGGTAGAGCGGCCTTGGTCAGTCCTGGTCGCTCCCCTGAGCCCACCCTCCTGCAAGCACTGAAGTCTGGGTGGTACTCAATCGGGTATTCTCCCAGGGGCAACTGAGAAGGCATTTCGGAGATCCCAGGATGTCCTTAAAACAAGCCGACAGGGAAGTTAAAGCAGCCTCACTCTTCCTGGCTTTTCTCAGCTAGTGAGGAGAGCTCGGGACCCTCCAGGCACTACCCTCTGCTTCGGTCCCCGCTGTCTGTCACCCTCCTGCTCCCTCCCACAGACGTTTCTGCTGTTAGCCTTGATGTGTAGGGAAAGCTGAAAGACCCACCAGATCTCAGCGTTTCCTTAAGGAACTCATAAGGATTCAAGACTCAGAGATGCTAAAACCTGAAGAGAAATAATGGCCCAAGAGCCCCCTGGGAATGAACATTCCTGGATGTTTGCCTTGCTTTCAGCATGGAAACCTCCCCCAACAAATTGTAAAGACATGTTCCTATCATGGTTCCATCATCTTCTTTAGTGCTGTTTATGATATTTCTTGAAGTAATAAGTTGATGTGGTCCTAAGTCTCATCTGGCCCACTAAGGTTTAAAATCAGATACAGACAGCCTGAGAAGAAAAACGCATTGAAAAAGAGAAAAAAGAAAGTACATCAAATATTGACATTGAAATTTACGTCTGAGATTTTTCTGTTACGCTGTGACTCATCGTCCTGTTCCAAGCGGCCTGCTTTCTCACTTCAACATTGTGTTAGCCTTATCTGTGCTCATATAAGCTATGAGTACTTCAGGTAACAGCTGCCATCCTCGGGCTCTATAGAGCCCTTAACTTTAAAGCATTGAATAGCACCCAGATAAGTTCACACCTAAATTATGTATTGCAGTGGGAAACGGCTTTCTCTCGAATTCTTTGTGACCCTTAAAGTCCTACTGTTTCTTAGAATACATTCTGGTTTGTTAAGTATACTCTCAAAATGGACTAGGAAGCAAAGAAAAAAGTCAGAGTGCTTTAGAAGTATATTTAGCTGCTGATAGAGAGTACGTAGTCTCTCTCTCTCTCTCTCTCTCTCTCTCTCTCTCTCTCTCTCTTTCTGTCTCTGTGTGTACGTGTGCGCATATGTGTATGTGTTGTATGTGTGTATTCACGTGAATGGATATGCACGTGTGAGTATGGAAGCCAGAGGCCAGTAGCTATCTGTCTTTCTGAGACGGGGATCAACTGCCTTTTCCTCCTCCCGCTTGCCTAGCAAGTACTTACCAACTGAGACATCTCCCCAGTGCCAGGAGTACATATTTAGAGGTTCTACCACATGATCTCGGGTTAGAGTGCACACATCACTGGAACAAAGCAACATGCCCTCAGCAACCTGCTTCACAGACGAATTGTGGGTATGTTAGTTTCGAATTTCTGATACTTGAATTTTTCTTTCCTACTAAGAAATCTGTTCTTTAAAGGAGGTATAAATTGAGCTCTGAGAACTAGAAAGGCAAATAGTTTTTCATCTCAAAACTAAGAGCAGTTCCACTTAGTGCTGTGGAATAAGTTACGCACATGAATATTCATTCTCGTGGTGATTTCCTGCCCAGTTGGGAGCAGAGCTGTGGCTTTGATTATGCATACAGATTGAAAGCTCACTTTCAATGCATCTGTGCTCAGGCATCACAGAGGCCCCCGCCAGCATCACCTTGGTAGCCAGTCTCAGATTTTGCTCGTGTTTTGTTAGTGGCTGTCTCTACCAGCTAGTCCACTTTAGAGACATGGAGTTTTATAAGAAGAGCAGATGCCATAGGAGAAGCCACTGGCCATTTCTACCTGGGAGGCCAGCTGGCAAAACCCTCATAAGTGATGAGTCCAGGATCTAGATCTCAGGCTGACCCAGAAGATGTGACAGCAATCCTGAGCCCTTCTTACTGTGAACCTAGGAGCGCATGAGCTGATTCCTATAGCCACAGGCCTCCTCCAAAATTGCTTACCACTCAGATTAAAGACGTGGAAGGAGAGCCATATTAAAGTAGATGAGAGACCCTTCTTTAGAGTAGTCTGAAAAATCAGGAAATGGCTGTGCGGACTACCGGTGGCATGTGTATGTCTGCTATTAGAGTCTAGTTGATCTCCCGGGTCTAAACCTCCTGTTCTTTCCTTACACGATCCTTGCATCAAGACCTGAAAAGACGCCGGGCAGTGGTAGCGCACGCCTTTAAGCCCAGCACTCGGGAGGCAGAGCCAGGCGGATCTCTGTGAGTTCAAGGCCAGCCTGGGCTACCAAGTGAGCTCCAGGAAAGGCGCAAAGCTACGCAGAGAAACCCTGTCTCGAAAAACCAAAAAAAAAAAAAAAACCTGCAAAGACTTTTGGTCTTCCTGTTGTGTGCTGTAGGCAATGTTAGTTGACTGTCTTTTTTCCTAACATCAATTCCTCTAGTGCTGTATTTTGTTACCTTCTTTTGCTGCATAAGAACTAAAAAAAAAAAAAATGTAATGAACAAAGTGACAGACTTACATTATTGCCTAACCATGCTGGTTGTGTGCTAGAGGTCATTGGCTACTTTTCTTATTAAAAACATTGCTGCTCTGGTCATTTTTCTATCATGATACCAGCCACATTTCAACTCATCAATAATTATATCCTAAAACACTCTTAAAAGTATGTCATATTCATTTGAATTCACAAGGAAGCTGCCATGGCACTTTTATTTCCACCTTTCCTGGATGGACTTAGAACTGTTACTCTACCCATTGATCAGTGACTCTCGGTAGAAAAGTTTCTGCTTGGTTTACAAAGACTTGTATCTGTGCTCAGTGGGAGCAGAATTCAGGGGAACCTTTACCAGATAAAATATGACTAAAAGGGGGTGCTAGAATGTGCTGACATTCCAGATCTTTCCCTAACCCTGTTATGGGCAGAGCATACTACAGTGTTTCTATGGTTGTTGCATCTACCTGCTGTGCATGGACCCCAATCCAGCACTGTGCAGCCTCGATGGATGATCCCCTTTGGATGTTAAATTTTCAATTTGGTATCTCTAGACTCTTTGGGCTTTTCTTTTTTTTCCCTCTGTATCTTCATTCAGCCTTTCAGACAGTCTGGCTTACTCCCCTGCCTCAGGTATTTCTCTTGCTTTTTCATCATAATAAATCACCACCTAGAATGCCAGCCCACCAACTGTCACTCTGGCCATGTAACACTAGGCAAGCTGATTTAGTTTTGGTGTGCCACGGGTTCCTCATCTGTAAGAGCTCCCCATTTGTGTTTGTTTGTTTGTTTGTTTGTTTGTGCATGCATGCGTGCGTGCGTGCGTGCGTGCGTGCGTGCGTGTGTTTGCTTGTGTGTGTGTGTTTGTTTGAGATTCCCCACTTGGAATAAGCGAATTATTTGGAATAAGTGAATAAGTGAATCCCTTGCCCAAAGGGTTGCTGTAAAGATTGACTGAAATAATGACCAAAAAGCAATTGTAATGCCTCCTGGAGCATGCCACCATCAAGTCATTTGTTAACATATAGCCAAGCACCTCAAGGCTTGA